GCCAAAGAGAGCCCAAGGGATTACCGTCTGAGATTCAAGGAGTGGCTGCTGATAGGTTCGAGTATCCCCATGAGACCCGCAGAGGAGTTTCTGGACCCATTCCCCCCCCACCCATGGTCCCTGGAAATACATCTATGACACAATCTTTCAGAACCCAACCTGCTGCTTTTCTGTCCTTTATGTCCTTTCTGTCCTTTCTGTTATTCCTGCCTTGAGACTAACAATCTGATATAGTAGGGACGGATGACAGCTGGTTACACCCGGCAGATGACTGCATGGTTGCATGAATGCAAGGGGACCATTCGAGGCAGGGCAGGGTGATGGGAGGAGGCCCCACTGGTGCCCCCCAGCGGCTCCTCCCGGTACCCTGACCAGATGCAGGGTTGAAGAAGGAGAAGGGGATCAGCTGGACTCCTGCTACTCGCCTACGCATCTCAGACATCCTTTTGCATAAGGGCTGCTGTCTGCAGATTATGGTCAGCTGGTTTGGTGATTACAGTTAGAGAACCTTCACAACCAGTTCTGGAGTCCAGAGCAGTCAATTCTGGCAGGTTTTCTCCAGTTATTGTTCTAAGGCCTTTTTCCTAGTCTTTCTCCCAAGGTTTTTCCAAAGACCTGCTCAGTCAATCCGCTGTAATCCAGGGTAATCAATGCTGGCAGGACTGTTTTTTTCTGATTTTCTCGGATTGCATTCTGTATATGGGACGCTGGACCTGTTTTTCAGCAGGTGATGCTCCCCACCAATAGACGGAGCCTCTCCCCAGGTGCTAGTGGTGTCTGCTCTTATCAGCACCACTAGCGCCGGTGGGGGTAAAAAAAAAAAAAAGAGTGATATCAAGCCTTTGATCCACCCCCCCTGTGTGGAACAAAAAAGACACGGTGTGGAGCCATAGCCACTGTCACCCAAATTATATCCCTTTGTCCCCACCCCTCCAGAAAGTGCATCAGCTTCAGCACTGAACAGTTCCCATTTTTCAACATGCTTGTACAGTGACAAATTCCTCAACACCCCCGCGTCATGCACACTTGACGGATAACTGATAAAAACGTCAAGAATGCACTTGTCCAGATCAACGACAACCTGCACGTCAACGTAGAATTGCTATCTTGAAGTTGAAGTAGTTCTCAGAGGTGGTGTTGGCGGCGTTGTCGTTGTTGTCGGCATAGAATGTCCGTACAGTCTATGGCGCCGAAATAATTGGGKAATTCCTTCCCATCGAACACACWATGTACCTGCAGTCAGCGACAGCCAGTGGGCATGAAGTAGTTCTCAGAGGTGGTGTTGGCGGCCTTGTCGTCGTTGTCGGCATAGAATGTCCGTACAGTCTATGGCGCCGAAATAATTGGGTAATTCCTTCCCATCGAACACACGATGTACCTGCAGCCAGCGACAGCCAGTGGGCATGACAATCTTATTGGGTAGACCGGCGGAATGGGATCCGTCACATCCCTCACAGCTTTGACACATGCTGCTCTGCTAATTCCAAAGCCAAGGAACCGCTCTCAAACGCTTTGTCCAAAGCCTCCTGTGCAATGTGTAAGTGACGATGTGATTCCACGGCAGCAGATGATGACAGTGTGTCAAGCACAGTCAGCTGCCTCCAAAGCTACGGAGTGCATGCAGCAATGATGTCACAGAACACACCCCTCGCCATCCACAACTTCTCATCATCCGTTGCATCATCCTGCACAGATCCTCCCACATCCCCCAAGTTGTTTATTCCAACTTACGGGTGGTTTATTCCAACCCTCTTTGCTAGTGGGTAGCACTCAGCGTAACCAACCAATACATAGGGAAAGTCAATCTGCCTTCAGAGAAACCATTCAGGCAAAGGAAAAGAAAGCTAGAAGACATAGTGGTGGTTTAAAAAGGGTGACGGCCTTGAGGTCTCATCGTCAAACTGATTCCCCAAATGCACTTGGTGTTTTGCACCAATTTTTGACAAAAACATTTTGAGAGTGTGATTTCCTGGGCTCGAGTGGCTTATGAAGGAGGCGCATTTTATTGAGAGAAAGACTCGGGACCCAAAATAACTCACCAAATGATTTTTAATGTTTAAATATCGCCCACAGACTCCACACTGAGAGTCAATATTGAATGTAGATTTCTTTCGCGTTCATTGTGAACTTCCACATTCAGGACTCTCAGTGCTCACTTCGTCTTATCTCTGGAAGACTGAAAATGACACAGAGTTGGCTAACCCCCAAGTCTCTTTTTTTTTTCTTTTTTTTTTTTTCAAGGTCCTTGTGCAAGGCCTCTATCCCAGTGGTGGTAAGAGAACCCCAAGCCTCGTATTGGGAAGCATCAGACTCTACGTTCTCTCTGGAGTGGCCAATGCGCCGGGCTTCAGATATGATGCCTTTGTTTTCCACCCGTTCAGTTTTGGGAGCCAGTATGTGTTTTGGAGAGTGACACCATTTGTAGACCTTGTGCGCTGGACATTTCGGCATAGGATCTGCCAGTAGACCCTCGGGATTGGGGCTGGATTAACCCAAAGCG